AGAAAAACAATCATAGAGAAAGGAGTATGATGTAATTTAATTGTTAGAATAATTTTTGATCAGATTGAACGACTATTTACTAATTAATTTAATCTTAATTTAATCAAGAATTTGTATTGATTTATCTTTTCTATTTTAAGGAATATTATGATAAAATTGACAATCTATACAATCTATTTAATAAATAGATAATATATATATATATATATATATATATTTATTATAAAACAGAGAAAAAAAAATTAGTAATAATTTTGCACATCATAAGACTAATATTAACAATTATAAATTTATGTAAATATATTTAATATTTTTATGAAAAAAAATTAAAAAATATAAAAAATTTACTTATATAAATGATATTAATAATGTTATTAGAAATTCGATGTGTATTGAATGTATATATAAAAATGATAACAAATGTCTCGAATTACTATACTTTGATATTCTTCAATTATGCCTGCAGATAAGCCTCGATTTGCGATATATATATATGATTACCTTGATTTTTATTTTCTCCTCTTTCCTTGTTTTTATTTTTTTCAATATCGAATTCAAATTTGTAAACTATATTCAATAAAGTTGCAAAATGTTGAACATTTTATCATGATAAAATGGAATAAGTTTGGTAAATGATTGAATGAATTATGAACCTGAACTTGAATTACAATTAAATTATGATGCAATTTGAATGATTTAGTAAATCGTTTTCGTAATTTGTTTCGAAATTTGATTTGTGTGCATATTCGTAATGAGATTGAATTTGATTGCAAAAATTCCATAAATTGCGCAAAAACTTTTCTTTCTGTTTTCTTTTTTTATTATTGCCAAGAGAAACAACTAAGCAACTAAGGATCGAATTATTTGATTTCTTATCTTAATCTCTTATATCTCTTCTTTTATTCTTTGTTATATCATTTTATTAATTGAAATAAATGTATAATTTTTGTTTGAATATTTCTAAATGTATTCTTATCAGATAAAGATTTGTGTGATATGATAATAGTAAATTAATTAGAAGACATGTAAAATATTGTCTTATTAATGAAACATGATACTTGATTTTTGGATCATATAATGCAATTAAAAAAAATATATGAATAAAATAAATATGAAGTTCTCGATTAAAATATACTTATATATATTATGTAATATTATCAAAAAATAAAATAAAAAAAGAAATTTAAAAAAAAGTCTTAAATAATAATAAATAAATTAATAGCATTTGCAAAGCTGTAATGAATTATATATTATATATATTTATAAATAAATATGTGATTATAAATAAATATGAAATAAAATTATTTATATTCATATTCATGAAATGAAAAACGAATTTGATCTGCAACGGAATATTGCGCACAAATTATTATGTATATATATATGTATATACACAAAACTTGAAAATATTTGCAAATTTATGAAAATTCTCTTTTGAATTAATAATTTAAATTTTAAATAAATAATTTAAAAATATATTAACAAATAAATTCAATAGCGTTGTTACGTAATACTATTGGCACACGATCTTTAGAAGAGTCAAAATTGTAGATAGATAATAATAATAGAAAAAGAAAAGAGAAGTAGTTATTTTAAACATACATTCTTTTATTTTCAATAATAACAATTGGATTATAAAATTGGCATAAAATAATTTGTTATGATGAAAACAAAATGGAGTAGAAGAGAATTAAAGAAAAGTTTCAAGTTTTTTCTTGTGTTTTATTCTTACAAATAAATAGAATTTAACTATTTAGCGCAATGAAATTTTCTTTATTGCATAATATCATTACATATCATAACATCACGTGTGTAGTTATAAAATAGAAGAAAGCATTTTTCTTATATTTATACAAAAACAGAATTCATTGGACATAATAAAAAAGAAAAAAAAAGAAAAAACTTTAAAAAATGATGATAAATAAATAAAAAATAATAAAGACAATAAATGTTTTTGTTAATTACAAGAGGAAAATAAAGGGAGATTCATACAAAAATGACATACATAATGACAAAAATTCATACAAACTTGAAGAAATAGAGATACGGTCGACCGTTGAGCAAACCTAACGAGAGCTCGATCAGCTGGCAACGGGACAATGTTGCCATGTTTCTTTTCGTGACCCCAGTTGGCGACCGCGTCGACTTTGTCGATCAATATTACTGAAATCTGGCAACCTCGCAGCTATCCAACTCTTTATTTATACGTGTCGGTCACACAGCGCAAGCTCGTTCTGAACCTTCCTTTGGTCGCTTTTGTCCTTCGTCATCTTCGTTCCCTTGGCCTTTACAATTTTATTTTACTATTTCCATATTTTTGAAAAATTAATTATTTGTTTAATTATACTTAAAATTAGAACATCAAATAAATAACTAAACAAGAATAATTGTTAAATATTTGATAGAAAATTCTATAGTTTGAATTACATTATGTTACATAAATATTTTTAGAATTGGTGAATATAGATTAAAATAATCAGGGACGAATATCAAATATAGTCTGTTTCAATATATTATATATATTACCTTAATAAATGGTGATCATTCAACCTTCGTATAATTGATATTATGAGCTATCAGAATACACATTGTTTTCATCTGAAAAAAATTAAACTAAAAAATATTATTATTTATATAATATCTTAAATTATTTAAATATTCTATCTTAAATTATCTTATTCTTTATTTTAATATTATTAAATTTAATTATTTTAATAGAGAATTGTTTCATAAAAATAACTTTCTATTTAATTAAGATTAATTCTTAATAATTCTTAATAATGATAAGATTAAATCATTGAACAATA